AATTTCATCCCGATCACTGAGTGTGGCCATTTTTACCCCCTTCCTGATCCTCCACAATCGGGTTCATTGTTGGATTGCCAACTTGGAGAGGGAGGATTTGCCATAGAACTTCTGGCCAGAGAAAAAACATCTAATATGTAGCCAACATTTTGGAAAAAGAATTTTTAAGATGACTTGGATAATAGCGTGTTGTGACAAACACCAGATACAGCACTGGGACTTGATCAACAGCAGATACGGTACCGTCATGTCACCAACCAGTAGGTGGCAGTAGTGCTCTTTGACAAACATGGATGCCTTCAGTAAAGCACATTCAAATGAGCCTCATCATTTATTGAACAGTATGTAATAATTTCATATTTAAAGTACTTTAGAAGTTTGAATTCTGAATATGACCAGACTTTTCCTTTAAAGGTTAAGTAGGAAACCTGCCCACTAGGTGGAGACAAACACTGCAGTACAGTTTTAAAAACAGTTTAAAACATGCTGGGGGGGATTTCTAATTCTTTTGCAAGAGCCAACCATTAATTCTGCACACTGACAAAAAAATCTGCATTATTGACAGGTACAGACTAATTCAGTAAAGATGAGCTCTTAGCACAGCAGGAAAACATGATTAAAGCATCAAGTTTACTCCATCATAGAGCTCAGAGAAAGAATAAGCAATGTTCCTACTTCAGCACATTGGTGGCCTTCATTCTCAGATTACAGAGTGACAAATGCATCTCTCTCCACTTTAAAGTTGCAAGAGGAGGCGAGGATCTGAATAGTGATGAGAGACAAAATGCAGCATCAGCCAGTTGTGTGAATGTGAGAAAAGTCTAATCTTATCCTCCATCATCCACTGCACTCTGCTCAGCGCTTTGCATAAGATCACATTTAAATTCAAGCATTAGGACGACAAGCAGCAGCATGTGGGTTCTGGCCTAGCATGTTTTTTTTTTTGTTTTTTTTTTTTTTACCACATAACAGATCAAGCAAGAAGCTCAGTGATTAAGAAAGGTGCATACTGTAAAGTGTAAAGAAAAGCTGTCATCGGTGTGATTATAATTATGCACAAATACTACTCTAATCAAGCTATTAGGTTCTCTCATTTATTTTTCTCCCCTTATAATGTTTTTGATGTTACATTATCTAATATCAGATAGCCAGAAATATCAGTTAGTATCGTCTAATTTAGGAAATCCTCCTTTTAATAGACTTAGTGATGGGTCCATGCATGCATGAAGCCCATAGAGCAAAAAAAAAAAAGTGTCGTTTCTAGAAAGTCATGTGACTGATAAAAATATTATATAATAGTGTTATAATATTAAGTGTGTCTTTGTATTTCATCCAAATGAAAAATGGAGAACAGATAAGCAGATCATGGCTTGTCTACAGTGAAAAGAAGGACTGGGTTATTTACTTTTGCCGTCGCCTTTTTGGAAATACAGAAAGGAGCAATCAGCTAATTGAGCTTAGTGCTTGGAAAAAATCTTTCATTCCTTTTGAGACAGCATGAAAAGTCAGCTGAGTACAAAACATAGAGGGGAAAACAACAAGAAAAGGGACAAGAAGAGAGGGATAAAAATGTCTATTGTATTAAAATTTCTGTATTTGTATAATTGGTCTGTTCTATGTGTTGTTTTTTTCAATTCAGAGGGCCCCATGCCTTTACCTAGGGCCTCAAATTTCCTAAATACTCCCCTGGTAGAAGGTCATCAAATCAATTGAGTTTAGTCTGTCCAATAAACTGCCTGTAGTGTCTTTAAATGTCCAGCAGGTGTCAGTATTTTGTTACACAGTATCAACACAGCATCAATACAGTTTGGTAATGAGTCTGAAAGCTTCAGGATGCCTCATTAACCAATCACCAAATAAACTAAAACCTTCAAACTAACAAAAAAACACATCTTGTCTGGATGTAGAGTCTTTATGCTTTAACATTAGCTTTAACTAGAGGGTATTCAAACCTGGACCCACTGTACAGAATGCTTGGGGTGTTCCCTTTTCTCAACAAACCTTAAATGAATGTGTGATTAATAGGCCGTTTCTATAAGAATTCAGGATTCTTATAGAATCATGTTTGCAATCATGTTGGCACCGTCCTCGGGGGGCCTGTCCTGTTGGCCTTCTGGTCCGGGTGGCCGAGATCAGCCCTTCTGCTCTACATACCAGGATCTAGAACCACACATGGGGAAGCAGGGCGTAGTTCTTATGCTTCACTAATCTAGAAAAAAACTCCTGGAAAACTATAAAAGTGCAGAAACCCTAAGTTGCTTTAAATCAATGTCAAAAAACATATTTATTTATAGGGGCCTTTGACTGTGCTATCTAAATATTATTGATTTAAATCTGCAGATCAACTTTTTTCATTTTCTTATTAATTTTCTATAATTACCAATTCAGTCATTTATTTGTGTTGCTTTGAATTATTCATATTTTTAATAATTATCTCTTTGCTCCTGCGGCATACTTTTTCTTGTGTTTTCATATTGCTGTTTTTCATGTACAGCACTTTGATTCATCTTGGTTCTGAAATGTGCTTTAAAATTAAACTTTCTTTGCATTGGTATAATATTAATGTATGAATGTCTTTATGAATTTGGTTAATTCGTTCTTATATCCTTTGTATCCATTACCTTTAATTTTTCTTAACCTAACATTGTTTATATATATATATATATATATATATATATATATATATATATATATATATATATATATACACATATATATACACACATACACACACGTATATATATATATTTTTTCATACATACATCTCTACATTAATTCATACATACGGCGTAAAGAGTGGTGCTCCTATTGGATCTGGTGATTTTTGGATTAAGACTCAAGCTGTACACTGTATTTATTAACTCTTCAGTACATTTATGTTTTCATTATGTGCTTTAAGCACATTTATAATTTTTTCCCTGTCTGTCATTGCACTTTCTCTAAGTTATGCAAAGAAGACTGTATACGTAGCAAGATTAGGCCTCCAAAGATAGATATTTATATGGAAAAAATTAGTGATTTAAAGCATCAACGCAGCAACTGCTGCAGTGACGTTTGAAAGATGCAGGAGACATATTGGATTTTTAGGTGCAAAATTTCTATACTCCTCTTAATTCAAAGCTTTTCAGGAACAGGAAGTCCAGAACAAAAATAAGATGCATGCCTGTTCCTGCAATGAGGCATGCTTAAAATAGAATAAATAAAATTAATAATACATTCTGATCATATCCCCTTACTATACCAACTAGTTTTTATGTAGCGAATCAATACAAAAATAAATGTTTTAGAACCTAGATCTTAATTTAAGTTTAACACATAAAAAGGCTCACTTTATTATTATCATTATGTTTTTTATACCTTATTCAGATACAAGACATTTCCAAAGTAAAAGTATATTTAAGAATTCCCAGAATAAAACAGCCCAACATCCATGTTAAAACAAGTAATTTTATTCATTTATCTTAAAAAAATTAAAATAAAGTGCCTTTTATGTACAATAAAAACAACAATCACAATCTCAATTATACAAAAAAATACAGTTCACAAATTTGTACAGTTAAAAAAAAAAAAATCATGCAGGCAAGACCACATTTGTCTAGCAACTATTCAGTCAACTAAGCTTATGGTGTTCAGTATGCTGAGCCAATGCTTTGTCTCATCGTTGAGGATTCGGATTTGTGCTTTGCAACCTACTGCTGTACTACATCATGCAGCACAAAGGATCCAGTGCTCTTCTAGTGGTATTATTTTATACTTCTGACGTTTTGAGGTGAATCCTGGAAATATGGAGTCAGAAATAACCTGCATTTGAGGAAAATAGACTGCTGTAGATGTTCTATGAATAGATAACTGGCTACATTCAAGTCCAGTACAGTATGTTTGATTACTGAGGAGCTGTGGTTTGCACGTCAATAAATATGCACATTGATGACACAGGATTTATCATATAGGATACGATCACCCAGTTAAGTTGAACAGTTCTGCATTTTTAGCTTCTTGTAATATCGGTTAAAGAAGTGTATAATAAAAACATCAACTGCTAAAGATGCTGCTGATTGGGTTTGCGTACGTTTTGTTTACATGATCCAAGGCTGCAGGATGGAGCAGTTCTCATTGCTGTCTATAGGCCAACTAAAAAGCGTGGTGATGACGTAAATCTACAACTGACCCGTGTTGTGTTAGTGGAGTTAAGTGTGCCCGCTGGGGGCTACAATCATGGTATTGACCACATTTCTGTTGGCAAAGTCACTGCTGGGTGATGTACAGCATAGCACACAGCTGAAGGCAGAAAAAACTGGATATCTACTCTAAAGGCATTTCTACGTGAAGTGGTGTTATCCATCAAGCACCTTAATACAGGTTACAGAGACTGTTTTCAATCACCTGTTCACAAAGACTTGCTAAACTTTAGTGACAAAATGCTTGTTTGTATGGTGGCAGCTGGCAGCAGTTTGGAAAAAACAGATAATTCTTGTAAAATACACCATTAAACAGTGTCTCCTAAGGAACTGTAAACCCAAAGATGTTAAAAAATGAAATAAAGAAATAAATCTGGGTAGAAACAGAAAAAAAACAATGCTATGCTAGCCATCTATGCTAACCAGCCATTTGTAGTGATGTTTGAAATAAATTAAATAAGACTATATCACCAGAATACAAAGATAAAATAATTACTTAGAAGTCACCAAGTAAAATGGTAAATATACTAAAAAAACAAAACAAAAAACAACCCCAACAGCTAATAAATACTTTTTTTGGCATTGATTTGAAATGGTTAGCTAGCAACAGGCTAGCAAGCGGAGCTAAGTAGCATCGATGAAAAGCAAAGAATATGAATTAATGTCATAGCAACAGTCTGTACTTTTATTCACATAACTGTTAAATTTAAACCATTAATATAATAAAAACTTAATTATTGCTGTTAGTAACTCAAAAAAGCAGTTTTTTGTATTTCATTATTATAATTATTCATTATTATTTCATTATTTTGTATTTCCATTAGCTTCACTGGTTAGCACAGGTTTTAATAGGCTGCTAGCTAAAACAAATATTTTTTATTTTTAATCATTTAAAATCAAATAACTTTTTTTGTGGAGAACAAAATGGGTTTTGTTTTATTATTTTGTTTTTCTTTAGCAAAAAAATCCTAAAGGATATATAATTCAACATCTACACAGAGTGGGAAGTTTCTAATCAACCGTCTCCAAAAAGAAGACGAGTAAAAAAACAAAAATGATAGGAATCTAAAAAACACGTATCCTGTCTTGAGGCGCTTGATAAAAAACAGGTAAGGTGCTGAAAGGATGGTGCGTTGAAATCTGTATTTCCTCAAGTTGGCAGTAAAGCACTATGTCAAAAATAAAATCAAATAAAAATACTCAGTGTTCAATCTCTAGTTTTAAGACTACCTCTACGACACATCTTGCACAACGTCCCTTAACAACACACAATATTTAGCACAGGCACTGTATTTACACAAAAACCAAACACAAATGGAAAGGAGGATATGCCGAGCATTGTTGTGCAGTATGCTGTGCCATTACTTTGTCAACTTGTAGCCGTTCCAGAGCATTTTTGGATCTACTCAGTGTTCAAAATAGTATTTGAATACTGGAATATATATATACTGTATTCTTACTTGATCAATGTAATAAAAATCATTATGTATTCTAAGATACTGTCACCACATTGTAAATGATTCACACTAAGACTGGCAACATTATCAGCTTTTGACTTCTTTGGAGATTTGGTTTTTAAGTCTCGAGAGTCTGTATATGACGGAGTGCTAAGACGTACAATGACGTCCCTAAAGAAGTTCTCATCCTTAGCAGTTAAGACTTCTGCTCGCAGTAGTTGCATTCACTTCTGTATGATTTAACTGAAGAGAAATGTGCAAATATTTTAACCCTGATTACCTGTGCTTTCACAATAGCATTACCTTGGCTTTTCAATGAGTGTGGTGAATGCCATGTGGATAAGACATGTAACCTGGAAATATTGGGGGTGTATAAAACGTGAATCTACATCACTACAGGGCCTCACAGAAGTAGTCACACCTTCTGAACTTTGTCACATGTTTACATGTTTTTTGGATGTTTTTGTGGAGCCATAAGGAATATACATGTATATATTTTTTTTTCTTACAAATAAAGATATGATTACAAAAACAATGATCCAGTGTATAAATGGAAGATGCCAAGAAGAACATAGTTTTAGAAATATGAAGAAATTAAAATGCAATTTAAAATTGTCCTATATGACACATGGGAGAAATGATAAACATATGGATGATGTTTTTTTGGTTAACATGCAGAATGCAATGTGTAACATCACCTCCACAATGACAGACAAGGTGGGGGGAGCATCATGCTGTGGGGCTCCTGTTTTTAGCAGGATTTAGGAAAGTTGGACAGAGTTGATGAGAATATGGCCAGAGGTAAATACAAATTAATACTGGAGCATTTAAAAGACTTGATTTTGATTTTAAGAAAAATAACCTTCCACAAGGAAAAGAAACAAAAACCAAAAAAGGATAAAATGATTAATAAAAAGTTTGGACCCAAAATTAAACTGAGAACCTGTAGCAAACTTTGTCTAATAATGCTTTAGCCATGTTATGCCACTTTATATTGATTAGTCACAAATTCCCCACAAAAGATATATAGCGTGTTTGGCTGCAACATGAAAACATGTGGAAAAGTTCAAGAGGCATGAAAGCACTACATTCTGTAAAAGACAGAACACCAGCTTCAATCTGTCGCCTTCAGCAACATCAATCTGAAGCTGTATGACTGGAGCTAAAGCTAACCAAGAAGGCTGTAAAGTTAGTTAAGCCTAGCCGTATTTGCATCTGTAATGTCAGCAAGAAGGCAGAAGGAAAACTGATTGACAACCACATGGCATCTACACACGCCATGTCAACCTTTGGCCCCACATGAAGATCACTTATTCTGCTCAAACACATTTTGCACAGTTTGCTATGAGCTAACAGTCTTGGAGAAATCCTCCAAAATTTGATCTTCACATTTATTTATTATTAGTGCCGCAATACTTTGACATTGATCAATGCTAACAGAAACCATGAGATGGTCATGACAGGATGGCACTATTGCATTTAGACAAGTTTTTTTCTGTTTTTTTTGGCACAGTACATGATGGTTTCAACGTTGCCCTGAATGTGTGGAGAGATAGAGATGTTCCCCCTCTTGTTTTACCACCAGCCTCTCTGATCTGCAGTGTGAATGAAGTCTCTTTCACATCTGCTTGAAAAAAAACGAGCATCTAGGTCCATTTATCAACTCGTAGGGGCACCTTCAGCTTAGTACGGTTAAGACCGATGGTCTCAAATAAGAAGGTTTTCGGCGGTGACATTTTCTACAAAGAGGACAATCTTGACGACAGCGTACATTCAGGAGGTAAATGACAGTGTTTCGGAGTCAGGGCAAGACCTTTCCAGCACACGTTTTCTCAGGATCAAGGGAACAATGCGATGGGCTTGATGAAAATGAATGACTTTAAGAATATTCGCGTTACCCTGAACTCTGGGTAGCTGTAGCTTGGTTCTGTGTGTTGTCCACAAAAAATGTGCAGGATACTCATTCATGGCAGGACGACTATCAATGATCTGACATCCAGGCTCGGCAGTTAATTCATTGCATACCAACATACTGATATAGGTAAATGTTTTGTTGTTTTTTTTTTAACATTGCGCTCTATTTATTTCTTGGCTCCTTAGCATACACACACTCGCATAATGTCTTGGTGTCCATCCGAAAGGCTCAAATAAGACAGAAACGATGATAGCTCATCTTAGCAGCTGCCATGGTTCGGTATCCTGGTTAAAACGGGAGAGTTTATGCTGCACCCTCTGCTCCAACGCTGGAGCAAACCAGACCAACCTCTGGCTTCGGAGTGGAAATGGTAAAACGAAATGACCTCTGCACTGATCACAGAACCAAGATGACTAAAAATAAGATGTGCTGTGATGTAGGTGGAAGTCGGGGTTTCCTCTCCCTCCCTTTGGGAACCACATCGTTCATGGAAATGCTGTTCCGGAGACGCTGCGCTCCTCATACAATGGAGTCCTTGATCTCCGAGCCCAGCCTCACTCGGGGCCGCGGGCAGGTTGGCGAGTACTCCACATGGCTCTCCTTTACGTTGAGCGGCCGCCTGTCGGAGGCCTCGGAGAAGCTCTTGCTGTTTTCCGGCGAGGACTCGTGAGTGGGCGTGCTGCAGATGTAGTTGTCGTTTAACGTCTGGTAGCCCTTGTGATCTGAGGTGGAAACAGGGATGGTGTTCCCATTTAGGGGTAAGCTCTCCGTGGGCTTTCCAACTATCCTGGGTTTCTTCTGCTGCATGTTGGGGCACTCTCCTTGCTTCATCATGGATTTCATATGATCACGGTTCCTGTAGATGACGAACAAGGAGAACACGACGAGGGAGAACGCCAAAAGAGCGCACACCACGATCAGCTCGTTCCAGTACGTCTTTGTGTGATCTTCGCGAGACTTGCCGGGCAGAATCATCGTTTCCTGCTGCACAACGTGAGGCGTACGCGAGTGACCAATCAGAGTGCTGCTTTCCTGGCGGGGCTCTGCCGTCACACAGTAGTTAGCCAACAGCTGGCGGAAGCCCTCCTCCTCAGACCAGCACTCGTAGGTTTCCATCCTGTCAGACTGAGCCACCACCACCAGGTTCCCCTCTGGGGTGGCGTAGAGGAACTGGCTGGCGTCGTCGCTGTAGCGCCACTTCCTCTGAGCCAAGTTGGAGCGCAGCTTACAGGGCAGGACACGAAATGTGTTAGCCGGGACTGTAATGAGCTTACAACGAGATGCACCTGAAAAAAACAACAAGATGAAGTTGATTTACAAAGATTTCAGTGAATCACTTCAAAAAGTCAAACTCATTAAAACGAAATGTCTAAAATATTATTAGTGTTTTACTTGCACTGCTTTTGGATCAATTTAAAACAAACTACTGTTCTAATAGAGATATTTTATGTTATTGCCTCCAACATAACAAAAACTCAAAAGCCCATTTCTTCATAAGCAGGCTGTTTATAGAGGGCTGTATGTAAGCATATTATTAGAAAGTTGAGTAGATAGAAAAGGTACAGTAAAAAATATATCTCATAACAGTAATCATTTCTTAAAATAAGAGCCTTGTCCTCAATTTGAACAGGTAAATCAGATAACCTGCCAATGAATTATTTTAAAAGGGGAGCAGCGGCCTAGTGGTTAGGGCATAGAGCTTGGAATCCAGAGGTTCCCGAGCCCCACTACCACAGACTAAGCAAGACCCTTAACCCCACACTGCTCCCATGGTGCCCCATGATGGCAGCCCACTGCTCGCCAAGGGGATGGGTTAAATCAGAGCTAAATTTCTCCAATGTGAGATCAATTAAGTTAAATGATTATTATTTTAAAATAAGTTAATACAGTATTATGCATTTGAAATAAGGTAACAGTTGTTTTACTTCTTATTTGAAACATAAATTAGCAAATGTTCTTAATTGCCAGTTTAAATCAAGAGAAATTTATTTATTTTAGGAAATATTTGTTTAAGCTTATTCCTTTTTTGCAGTGTAAACTAGCAATAGGAGTAAATGGGAGTAACTGCAGTCTTGCACGTTTAACCCACTTAATAGATGGCTGGACGTCGTTTTGCATTAACTGATGCATCAATGCAGTGGCACATGGAGGCGGTCAGCCTGTGGCTCTGCTCAGATGTTAAAGCAGAGGGATAAAAAATAAATAAATAAATCAAGCTTTAAGATTATATTTTCATTTTCTGATGCAGTTGTGCTTGAAAGTTTACACACCCTCCCATTTAAGAAAAGGATAAATTCACACTAGTAATTCCAATAATAAAACACTGGGGGAAAAAAACATCCATCCATCCATCCATCCATCCATCCATCCATCCATCCACCCTCTCCCACATCTTCTCCCTCAGTCCTTTTCACGGTCGCGGTGGGGCCTATCTCCAGCTGTCTACAGGTGAGAGGCGGGGTACACCCTGGAAAGGTTGCCAGTCCATCGCAGGGCAACACAGAGGCAAACAGGACAAACAAACATTCACACACACTCACACCTAAGGTGAATCTAGAGAAGCCAATTAACCTAACAGTCATGTTTTCGGCCTGTGGGAGGAAGCCGGAGTACCCGGAGAGAATCCACGCATGCACAGGGACAACATGCAAACTCCATGCAGAAAGACCCTGAGCTGGAAATCAAACCCAGAACCTTCTTGCTGCAAAGCAACACTGTATCCACTGTGCAGCACCTGAAAAAACTAATAAAATTTACTAAACGATAATTTAGTAAATATACTGATGTGTTGATTAGTTTAAAAAAAGTCTTAAAAAAAAAAAAAACTGTCCCTGAAAATTAAGGAATCTGAACAGTCAATTTCAGTTCATTTCACTTGCAGCTGATTTTTTCCTGTCTTTAATGGAGCTGTTTGTAACCTTTCAAGCACGACTGTACACCTGACAGCATTTGACACGCTCAAGGTGGCCATTGTTCCTGAAGAGACAAATAATTTCCCTTTTGGTCTAAAAATGGAAACAATTACATGGTGTTTGTGGGCAAATGGTGTACAAAAAGAGGACACAGCAATATCATCTAAATGCTAAATTATTCAGCTGCTATGTTTGTTAACAAGGGCAGCGTTTGTTGACTCGTGCCAGGCTTGTAGCCGTCTTTGTTTTCAGAACTGACATGTTATTTCAACTCTTAAGTACATGCTGTTTGCCGTGTTTTCAAAGTAACTGGCAGCACTTCAATTAGAGAGCATTTTGCAGGGGCAGGACACACTCACGAGTAGCGGCTGGTCTGCTAGATCTGAGGAAGGGAGCGGTGGAGTTGCAAATGGCTGATGTGTCAGCTTCCTCCACGTCCTGCTGCCAGTGGCTGAGAGAGAACAGACGACAAAAACAACAAGGTGAGCACTGGCAGCTGGAAGAAGAACGCAAGCTTTTCTCTCAAACTCTGGTTTAGAAAGAAATGTTTACAGATTCCTCATGACTGAAAACACAGCGTTCCTGCAAAAGCAGATTTTTTCCTTAAGCATATGACTGAACTTTACATGCTTAAGTCACAAGGGTGTCTGGCTCATAGGATCACTGCAACAACAAGATCATATGTTTCTGTTAACCTGAAATAAAAAAGAAATATCTACTTCCCAGATAAAAGTAGATTCATTTTATCTGATTTCAATCTTAATAAATATAGATTCAGTCTGTATAACAGTGGCGGCTGGTCAATAGGAGGCATTAGGGTGCCGCCCCACCCACCCAATGACCCTGATTAAGACATTAAAAAAAATATATATGTATATATATATATATATATATATATATATATA